CTTCACCGCCCAGGCTAACAGCTTGAAGACCCGTGTTTGTGTTCTTCTGTCGTGTAACTTTAGTCCCTCGGGAGGGGGAAGAACAGCAGAAGTGCCAAAAGTTGTGTACGGAGCTCACTTTAGTGCCAAAAGTTTCAAACGGATCACTTAAGTGCCAAAAGTTATGAAAAAAGATCACTTAAGTGCCACGTCGCCGGAAATCCGACATGGTATTTTTTTATTAATTTCTCAAGCTGATGTGGCTCGCCAGAGGCTAATGTGGCATTTCTTTTCTTTTTTTTTTTCCTTTTCTTTCTTTTTTCCTTTCTTTTCTTTTTTTTCTTTTCTTTCTTCTACCATGGCTGGTGGCCGGAGGCCAGCCACCGGCCATGGCCGGCCTCGCCGGGCGTCGCCTTCCTCCGGGCGAGGGCCGGCAAGGCCGCCGTGGCCTCGGCGAGGGCCGGCCTTGCCGGATCTGGCGAGGCAAGCCCAAGCAAGGGCTTGCCTCGCAAGATCCGGCAAGGGCCACGGCGCGCCCTCTCGGGCCTCGCCCGGAGGAAGGCGACGCCTCGGCGAGGCCGCCGTGGCCTTGGCGAGGGCTCGCCTCGCCGGATCCGACGAGGCCGGGCCTCGCCCGAAGGAAGGCGACGCCTCGGCGAGGCCGCCGTGACCTTGGCGAGGGCTCGCCTCGCCCGAAGGAAGGTGACGCCTCGGCGAGGCCGCCATGGCCTTGGCGAGGGCTCGCCTCGCCGGATCCGGCGAGGCGGCCCTCGCCGAGGCCACGGCGGCCTCGCCCGAAGGAAGGCGACGCCTCGGCGAGGCCGCCATGGCCTTGGCGAGGGCTCGCCTCGCCGGATCCGGCGAGGCGGCCCTCGCCGAGGCCACGGCGGCCTCGCCCCGAAGGAAGGCGACGCCTCGGCGAGGCCGCCGTGACCTTGGCGAGGCTCGCCTCGCCGGATCCGGCGAGGCCGCCGTGACCTTGGCGAGGGCTCGCCTCGCCGGATCCGGCAAGGCCGGCCCTCGCCCGGAGGAAGGTGACGCCTCGGCAAGGCCGCCATGGCCTTGGCCAGGGCTTGCCTCGCCAGATCCGGCGAGGCCGGCCCTCGCCGAGGCCACGACTGCCTCGCCGAGCCTCGCCCGGTGGAGGGCGACGCCCGGCAAGGCCGGTCCTGGCCGGTGGCTGGCCTCCGGCCACCGGCCATGGTAGAAGAAGAAGAAATAAAAGAAAAAAGAAAAGAAAGAAAAGAAAAAAGAAAACAAAGAAAAAAAATCAGAAAAAAATATTTAAAAAATTGAATTATACACGTAGAAATGCCACGTGTCATTAAAATTTAAATATAAAATTCACGTATTAAATTTGATCGAAATTTCTCGCCGTTGGCACTTAAGTGATCGTTTTTTCTCCGATTTGACACTTAAGTGATCGTTTTTTCTCCGATTTGGCACTTAAGTGATCGTCGGCGTAAACTTTTGGCACTTAAGTGATCCGTTTGAAACTTTTGACACCAAAGTGAGCTCCGTACACAACTTTTGGCACTTCTGCTATTCTTCCCCCGTCCCTCGGGCTACTTAACGTCAAGTTCAGAAGAAAGAACGAATTTGAAAAGACAAGGGAGAAAAACATCAAGCCGTCGACGCCCGACACTGCCTATTAATCCATACACACAGCACTTTACATAATACGGCGCATCTCGTATTCCGGATAAAACTTTCGACCTAAGGCTCCGTTCGTTTGGCAGAAAATATTCTCTCGGAAAATATTTTCCGGGTTTTCCGGTGTTCAGGGGGCGGAAAACGTTTTCCGTGGGAAAATATTTTCCTTCCCTCCCTCACAAAATAGCCTAAGTCTGCGGAAAATGACTTCCGCTTCTTCAAAAGCGGAAATCATTTTCCGGAGCTTCTTCTTCTTCTTCTTCTTCTTCACTAAGGTCGCCGACCGCTGCCGCCGCCGCCGGTCGCCGACCACAGCACCGCCGCCGCCGGTCGCCGGCACACACTGCCGCCGCGCTGCGGTCGCCGGCCGCCGGCGCCGCCGCCGCCGGCCGCCGGACGCCGCCGCCGGACGCCGCCGCTGCCGCCGATGAAAAATATTTTCCGAAACTTTTTCATATTAGTGGCCGAACACAGGAAAATTATGTTCCGGGAAAATATTTTCCAGGAAAATGACTTCTGGAAAAATATTTTTCAAAAGGAGAATATTTTTCGCCAAACGAACAGAGCCTAAGTGATGATTGAAGCATGAGCTTTCGATTCCGGGCTTCGAGATACTGAATGGACAGGAGGAGGAGGGGTAGATTAACGGAGGTGGTGGCGCATGAAATGGATGAAAGAAGGTGGGGTGGGGGGGGGGTCGATTGTGAAAAATCAAAAAGTTACGAGGGCAAAAGCACAAAAAACAGAAAAACGAGAAAAGTACGGACAGACAGGGAAAGAAGGGGGGTGGTGGGGCTTAAGATGCAGCGCCAAAGGCGCAGGCGAATTGATAGGACGGCTCGCCCACGTGACTCCCTCCCCCTCCCTCCTCGTCGCGTGCACTTCATTCACTCGTCAACGGCTCTTTTTTACCCGCCCATCTTCTTTTTACTTAGGATTAATATCACTAAAAGCTTAAAATAATTACACAAATCACAAATTTATCCTAAATTAATTTTTCGTTCGCCAAAAACCCAAAATCCGTACATTCATGATAAATTTACCCTTCGTTAATTTCCATCGAATTTTATAATCAAATTGTCGATTTTATCAGGTTAAAGTTTTTCGTAGTATTAACCATTTTACTTATTACTAATTTCTCCCTCGTTGCTCTTCTTTTTTTCTCTCATTCTTTTTTTTTTTACCTTGGATGATGCGCCGACGATGTGAAAAATCATCTCACAAGTAAGAATTAAAACCGACAGTGTATACAGCTTTGAATCTAGACATTATCCTTTGATAATAAATTTGAGGAAAAAAATATTTTATATCGTCGGTATGCCTTGAGTAAATCATGTTTTGTTTTTTTCCTTTCGGAAAAAACTCATGCGTCCATTCATTCATCAAACACGATTACGACATATGAGACACATGAGACGTAGATAAAGCACTCCGCTGGCGATAGAGCTAAGCGAATTAGTTATCATGACCCATGATAGTAAACCCAAACTAGTACATTTGTGACAAATTTACTCTCTGTTAGTTTTCATTAAAATTTACTGTCAAATTGCTGAGTTGGATGACACATGGCAGTTAACAGATGTAGCGATTTGGGGTTTTACTCCTCTATATGTCATAAGTTTATCAAATTTGTGATTTTTCGTGGTATTGATCTAATTTAACATGGGATAAATTTGTTACAAGTGTATCGGCTTGAGATTTTTAATAGTCAAAAAATTAATTTTGGATAAATTTGTTATAATTGTACCGGTTTAGGGTTTTTGGTGGTCAAAAAATTAATTCGAGGTAAATTTATCATATGTGTATCTTTTCAGGATTTTTTGTAGTATTAACCCTAAAAAAATATATCTTTACGGAAAACATTTAGACGCACGAATGTGAAAGAGATTTTTGAATAGAAGACTACAAAACAATCAAAAATGGTAAAAAGTAAAAGTACTTTACAAGGCTTTTGCGTGGAAAGCTTGTCAGGGCCTCATTACCATTCGTTTTCTTGAGGAGCGTAATCACTCCATAAACTTAACGCATTTTGTTAGCTTTATCTGAACAAGAACAAAAGCGTTTTCTTCTTAGATTCTGAGCAAATAATCACGGGATGTGTTCTTTCTTCCACTACTATATCATCCAACTTCCGGCTCCATCCATTGGCTCTTTCTTGATGTCCGACAGCTCTCTCGCTCCAGTTGATGCAGCTAATCATATTTCCGCACATAAAATATTGCTAATGCATCTTCGTTGATTAGAATACTTCCATTTGGTCATCTAACTGTGATAGTTTTACAGCTATTTCCATTTGTTAATTGCTTCAAAAGGCGTCGAGGGACATGGGAAAAACGGAGGCATCTCATTCCTTCCATTATCTTCAGATTCTTGGCCTTGTCCTGCTGACTTAGGAGCTCTCAAGGCCTCAGCTGAACGAGGTCTCTGGCCTCGAATGGGAAACACACTGAATAAGTGACTACCAATTAAGAACGAGGAGAGAGTACAGAAGATGGAAGGAGAAAGGGAGAGAGTGTGTTTCCATCAACGCGCCTGGAGGAGAGAGTGAGAATGGTATCTGTAGATATACAGAAGGAACAAAGAGTGATGAGACAAGAGATGCAAGAGAATGGACTGCTTGGGCTCTGAGTCACTGAGTCCCAACAACTAACAACACCACCCCCCTCACCCCACCTTAGTTGCTGCCAAAACCCCTCTTGACCCCACCTTTTCTTTTGTATTCAATATTAACATTTAACTCTCTCTCTCTCTCTCTCTCTCTCTGTTCTGATGTCTTGAAGCCTGGACAGAAGAGAAAAACACACAATTACCTTTATTCAAAATGGTCCATTCCTTGGACCAGTTTCTTTTTGTGGCCATTTTAAGTGGATACTTCTATGATGCCTTCTTTTGGGCTCTAAAGAATGGAGTTTCAGCTGTGGTTGGTTGGTTCCAATGCAGTTGAGGTTGTTATTTAAATGAGAGAATACTTTGAGTTCCATAAATTCCCCCAGTAGAATTAGTTATATGTGACTTTCTCCATGCTGGGAATAACTTAAGGAAAAAAAAATCTAACTTTTGTTGCATTGAACGAAAACCAACCTTTTGTTTTGCCTTTGTGGAAAGCTTAATGAGTGCAGTCACAGGAAACAATCAAAAGGGTGGGAAAAAAAACAAAAGAAAAAAGTTGTTATTGAGCATGAAAAAGGAAAAGTTAAAGCTAAGGCAACAAAGCAAAGTAGTGTGGGTTCTGTACTGTCCTGGCTTTGTCCCCCCACTGAACACAGTCTCTCTCTCTCTCTCTCTCTCTCTCTCTCTCTCTCTCTCTCACTCTCAAATTGGGCTTTTTATTTATAAATTAAAGAAATTCTTTTGGCTTTGTTTGGTGCTTCCCATAGATATGTCTGTCCGCTGCTACTTCTGCTCCCTCATAACAGTACCTGCAAATGGAGGAGGAATCCCTCTATGAGTTCCTTGTTATTATTTGCTTCACCTCCTTTTTTCCCTTCTCATCTTCCACTTACTCATCTTTGTCCAAACACTTCACTCCTCTTAATCATGATTTGAACTCATTTCCCAGTTTCACGCCCTCCTGATTGCTCAAAGGTTTCATCTTTCTTGATGTTCCTCTCTCCTCTCAGCGAAAAAGCTGGATTTTTAGTTGAGCTCGTGTTGAACATCAATTGGAAGGAAAGTGGGTGTTCATGGAAATTGATCTAAATCATGCAGTGAGTGATGTAGAGAACGGCGGCAATGCATGTTGTGATGGACATTGTGAGAAAGGCAATGGTTGTCTCCACTGTTTGTCTTCCACTTCTTCAAACTCTTCATCATCATCCTCCTCATCCACTGTGCCTTGCTCAATCTACTCTGAGCTCTGGCATGCTTGTGCTGGACGACTCACCTCACTGCCCAAGAAAGGGAATGTGGTCCTGTACTTCCCACAAGGCCACTTGGAACAAGTTGCCTCGGCTTCTCCTTATTCGCCCATGGAGATGCCCACCTTTGATCTTCCGCCACAAATCTTTTGCAGAGTTGTGAATGTTCAGCTACTGGTGAGTGCTCCTGTTTTTGAAGTTATCTGGCAGCTGCTAAACTTTGCTTCTTCATGTGCCTCTTGCCAATTGCACTTTGTGTTTCACAGGCTAATAAGGACAATGATGAGGTATACACAAAAGTCACATTGCTTCCTCAACTGGAGGTATGCGTTTCATAAGCAACCCATTGGTTAATCATCTGTCATTTACTTTTCGTATTTTTGGAGGTAGGGTATATGATGTATAGCTATACTATAGTAGGCTCTATAGTGGGCTTTCTGGGTAAAAATTTCGTTTGAGGGATTAAGAGCAAATGTATTGCTATCTTGGGTACGGCACAAATTTTGTTTCTATTGTAGATGATGACACTGTCATTTACTTTGTAGCTGGTAGGGTTAGATTCTGAAGGCAGAGCTCTTGAGGAGCTGGGGGTAGATGAGAATGATATTGGAGGATCACCTCCAAGATCAACTCCTCACATGTTCTGTAAGACACTCACAGCTTCTGATACTAGCACCCACGGAGGGTTCTCTGTCCCGCGTCGAGCAGCTGAAGATTGCTTTCCCCCTCTGGTATTACCACGATGTTCTGCTTTACCGTCTTTGTTACTAGGTTCCTCAGTGTTTTAGTAACAGCTCCTTGTACAGAAGCTAAAGCCTTTAGGTTGCAGGACTATAAGCAGCAAAGGCCTTCTCAGGAACTTGTCGCCAAGGATTTGCATGGAGTCGAATGGAGGTTTCGCCATATTTATAGAGGTAATGTCTCGAATCTCAAGGTGTAAATTTGATTTGATGTCTAAGTTGTTAAAGGTTGGTGTTTGCTTTTCCTCAGGCCAGCCAAGAAGGCATCTGCTTACCACAGGATGGAGTGTTTTTGTGAGCCAAAAGAATCTTGTTTCTGGGGATGCGGTGCTTTTCTTGAGGTGCATATGCTGATTCTCTCGTATTACTGTATTGTTTGGACAGAATACTTAGCAATAGTCATGTTACTGTCACTTGTAGAAAGTATGAAATATGCGGTACATAATTTCCAAATAAGCTAACAAAAATAATCAAGTTCCTGTCTTTTGACTATATGTCCACTGAATCATTTTAGGGGAGAAGATGGCGAACTGAGATTGGGGATAAGAAGAGCTCTCCGACCAAGAAATGGTCTTCCTGGTTCAACTGTCGGTGACCAGAATCTGTACCCTGCCGTTCTTTCAGCTGTTGCAAGTGCTGTATCCAGCAAAAGCGTTTTTCATGTATTCTACAGTCCAAGGTAATTGTAACTTAAGAGATATTGGATTTGTTAATTTTGTAGTCATGACCCTGGACCTGTTTGTATCAGACCTTCAATTGAAACTGTACAATATTTAACTCACATAAGACCAGCTTATTAAGAAAGAGAACGAAATGAATTACATGCATATACAGTCTAAAATGTTGTTGTGATGCTAAAACTGAGTACAAGCATTTGAAATTGAGAATTACTTTGTCCATCAACACAGGAAATAGATCAAAAGGGTTTCATTATTGACTGTGTGAGAATTGTATTATGGGATGTTGCTCTTTATGAAATGCTGGTTGAACAATGGGCTAGATTTTGATCCCATGAGTCTACTCCAACCTCAGCCAAAGAAAAAGATCGAGCAATGAAAAGTGAAGGAAGATTATGGAGTTTTGTACTATTCACGATTACTGGGATTGTACTTGTAACAACAGGACAGTGTAGTTTCACGTTGAGAGTCACTCAGCAGTCTTATGACACTGCTAAGATTTTACATATTATATCAACTTTTGACCATTGCAAGAACTTGATAGTGTTGCCAACATGGCAGTGGCTGATTATATATATATATATATATATATATATATATATATATATATATATATATAGAGAGAGAGAGAGAGAGAGAGAGAGAGAGAGAGAGAGAGAGAGAGAGAGAAATAGTGGCAGTCGGTGAATTTACAGCATCAACCATAGCTGTGTGTTCCACTTTTAACTGAGAATCCTGAGGGTGAGAGATCTCACGGCCTCACATGTGATCAATGCCTAAAGTCTGTGCTTGGAATAGTTCGTCATATAAGTTCCTTTGAAGTCTCATGGACACGGCTCGGGGACTGTGGTTGATCTCTTTCAGTGTAGTTGAATCACTGGATTCTAAGTACTACTTGACGAGAGTTCCATGTCTTATCATTCAAGTGACATGCCTTACTTGGCTGTAGGCCTATAACTCTGCCAATGACTGCACAAGGGTTTTATGTTCTTGAAATATCAAATGGGAACCTGTCCTCGAATTCTCTCTTCTTCATTTACACTTGACTCGTAAATGTGTTGACCTTTGAGAACACTCGACTTGTAAATAGGTGCACAACTTGAATGGTGTATACTTCCTTTCCACGCAACTATATTTGCTTTCTAATAAAATGGCAAAATGCAGGGCAAGCCATGCAGAGTTTGTTGTTCCCTATCAGAAGTATGTCAGAAGCATCAACAACGTGATATGCATCGGGACAAGGTTCAAAATGAGAGTTGACGTAGATGATGCACCGGAAAAGAGGTTTGTCTATGGCTATATCGCATGGCGGAAATAATCTCTGTTCTTCCTTTGAATGCCACCTTGTCTATCTGAATGCCTATCCTGTTTGGTTGTTTTTTTAGGTGTACCGGTGTAGTGACTAGGATAGGCGACTTGGATCCTTATAGGTGGCCCAACTCAAAATGGAGATGCCTAATGGTAAGCATTTGCTGCCAGAGATATGGTTGGCTGAAACATCAAAGTTTACTTCCTTTGTATGGATTGCCATGTCAGCTGTTCTTTCTGGTGATGTGATTTTGCCATTTTTAAGTTATCTCAACTTTCTTACTTCTGGCTCTTCTCTTCAAGTCGGACTCTTACTTTTTTCCTTTCTTTATATAGCTACTTCTGCTGCTTTATTAGTTGAAGAACATGAATAATGTGTCTGTTAAAATATCTCTCAGATAGTTTGATCCTCTCTAACCTTTTCATCTGTAGCTTTGAGGCCAATTTTTTTGTTAACAAACTTCGGTTTCTCTTGTTTGATAATGTCCATGGCAAGCTTCTGTATTAGTGCTCTACATGGAATTTGAATTGCTCGAGCATATGTGTCCTTGTATTTAAGGGGTTGACTTTCCTGGAAACTGGGTCCGAACATTATGTGCTTGCAGTAGGATATGAAAAATCTGCTGAACTTGTAGTCTCATGAGATGATAATGTTCAATGACTCAACAGGTTCGGTGGGACGATGATATCATGAATGGTCATCAAGATCGGGTCTCACCCTGGGAAATTGATCCATCCGTTTCCCTCTCACCTTTGAGCATTCAGTCCTCCCCAAGGCTTAAAAAGCTGCGGACTAGTCTGCCAACAACCCCGCCTGTCAACCCTCTCACTGGTAAAAGAAAATGAAACTTGAGATAGTAGAAAGGATATCCTATATATTTTTTCCTTACCTGTTTTCGTAATCTTTAAAGTGCTTCCAGCTGGAGGGGTCGGGCTTTTGGACTTTGAGGAGTCTTTACGATCCTCTAAGGTCTTGCAAGGTCAAGAAAAGTTACATTTGGTATCACCTGTCTATGGACGTGATGCCCTAAACTGTCAGGTTGATTTCGAGAAATCCCCTGCACATCAGGCTCTAGCATCTGTTGGAGTAGAAAAGGTCAACAATATCAATGAGTACATGAGGGCTAATGCCCCCAGTTATGCAGGCTTTGTGGAATCCGATAGATTTCCAAGGGTCTTGCAAGGTCAAGAAATATGCACACTGAAGTCCTTAACGACGAAACCCGAGTACAACCTACGAACTTGGGGAAAATCCAGTCTTTCGTGCAGCTCTTTCGGTGTGTATCAGGCACCCAAGTACCATTTCGACCCAGTGAAATCATCCGAAAGCCTTCAGAAAATATATTTTCCATATAATGACATTCTCAAATCCGGCCAAGATCGCACAAGGTGTTCCGATTCGACCAACTTCCTCCAAGAGGCTGCCTCCGTTAGGTCATTGAGGGTTCAGAATGAAGCGATTGAAAGGACCAAAGCTGACATCAGGAATCTGGAGAGCATATGCGCTTCTCCCAATTTCGGGGACAGTCAAAGAGCTCAGACAAATGGGAGTATTGACAGCCTCTTTAGTGGTTGCAAACTATTCGGTTTTCCCTTGACTGCAGAAGCGCCTACATCTACCCTGCAAAATTCTGGTAAGAGGAGTTGTACCAAGGTAAGATGTTTTTCGACATTGATTCTGTAATGTGGCTTTCAATTGTATTGTCTCTTGCTAATGACATGAATTAATTTTTAAGGTTCACAGGCAAGGAAATTTGGTGGGACGAGCCATTGATCTCTCGAGGCTGAATAGTTACGAAGACCTGCGAAACGACCTGGAGCGACTGTTCAGCATGGAGGGGCTCCTGAGAGATCCTGACAAAGGTTGGCGAATCTTGTACACCGATAGCGAGAATGATGTGATGGTTCTCGGGGATATACCATGGCAGTAAGGATACTCCTGTTAAATGTCAATTTGTGGTATAATGTTATTTAGATGCAGCACTTGCCCGCATTACGTGCCTAATGATTCAGCATTAGAAATTTTACACCTGAGAATTTTCCTGCCTCGATTGTCATCAAAAGTTTATAGAACTCTATTAAGATGCTTCAATTCCACTGCACATGTATGACTAGAGGATGTGGATTTGATTTCAAAGAATCGCTTACAAAAGAGGCTGATAGACAGTAATGAAACACGGAGGAAATTGACGAATATGAAATAATATCAACTTCCTGTCCTCTAAATCTGTCTTGTTGTAAATGTCATTCTTTTCTGTGCAGTGAGTTTTGCGATGTGGTGACCAAAATACATATCTACACCCAGGAAGAAGTGGAAAAGATGACCACAGGGATGATTAGCGACGATACTCAGAGCTGTCTGGATCAGGCACCGCTGATAATGGAAGCATCAAAGTCATCTTCCGTGGGCCAGCCAGATGGTTCACCTACTGTCGTTAGGCTTTAATGTCCAAGGTTTGCTGTCTTCCTATGTATGTCTAAAGTAGAATAAGCTTGAGATGCTGACCCTTTGCCGGCATAAGCACAATACAACGACGTCGAGTTCCGGACCAAAAACTCGATTCAGCCTCTTGACTATGTTGTGGTACTTGGAGCCATTCAGGCTCGGTATTGGTAATCGATGTTTGTGCGTGTATCTTTTGTAAAAGCAGTTCTTATTGATTATTGCACCCTCAAATTCAGCCAATGCACGATGCGCAACAAAAACCATTAGTCCCTCGTCTTACCTCATGTTCATGTAATGCAGACTGATTTAGCTCAAAGAAGGTCGTTACTGAAACTGTAATGCAGACTGATTTAGCCCAAGATAAGCCTGCTGTATAAGAACTACTAATATAAAATGAGCATTGGCATTGGTGAATCGACCGTGATTCTTGAAAAATACCATTTATTTAAAATCAATGAGCCCGTCCACAACCATGATAAACATCAAGGCAAGCTTTTCCTTTGAGAGAGAGATGTGCAACTATAAATGGGAGGGGAGAACGATCCCTCAGCCTCCACCAACCCAGGAAAAAAAAAGCGGAACAGAAACATTTTCCTCTCATTGCTCCTTGAAGAGTTCGCGGCCAATGATCATTCTTCTAATCTCGCTAGTCCCTGCGCCAATCTCATACAATTTGGCATCTCGAAGGAGACGACCTGTCGTGTACTCATTTACATACCCATTGCCACCTAGACATTGTATTGCCTGCGAAAGACATACCAATCTTTTATAGGCTTCTTTGTACCCCATCTATCCATTAAAAAAGGGATTGAGAGTATGCAACAATGTTTGTTTTGAGTTTCCCGTGAACTATAACTTTCCATAGCTTTTGAAACTTGTTAGAAGATCAGACACAAGTAAGAAAAGATGAGTGATGTGTCAAAAGAATTTCAGTTTTGTATGGACAGACATGAATGACAAATTCAGCAGCATCACTTCACCTGCAAAGCAACTTGTGTGGCTCTTTCGGCAGCCCAAAGTATGACTCCAGCACAATCCTGAAAGTATTTTTAAACAGACATTACAATTCTTATAAAGTGAGAGCATTACATGATACTAGCTTGAAAATCTTGCATTTAACTAGATTTGGCAAAGAAAGAGCAATCGATCCCCAGCACAGATAAAAGAGTTATCATACAAAGAATAGAAGTGATTGGGGCTAATAAAGGTCACAAAGTATGACAAACATAAAGAAAGGGATGCACCTTGGGATAAATTTTTCCATTGTCGCAGCTTGTTGCCACAGAATATACATAAGACCTGAGAATATAAAAATATAAAAATTGGGCCAAGAGAATATGAAATTAAATAGCGCTTTGCCACTAAAATGTACCAAAAAAGTGGACCAAAGAACCAGAATAATTACCTTGAAGATTGCAAAGAAGTATACATATCGGCAATTTTTCCCTGTAATTCCATATTTAATTCAGTGTTAAGAGAATCAGATTCCGCAAATCAGTCGGAAAAAGAATGAAACAAAACCAAACCTGTATAAACTGAAATTCCCCGATTGGACGGCCAAACTGCTCTCGCTGTCGGACATAAGGAAGAGCAACATCAAGACATGCCTGCATTATGCCTAGAGGTCCAGCTGCCAAAACAAGCCTCTCCAGATCTAGACCTGACATCATAACGTATACACCTGAAAGGATCGAGGTAAATGCCAAAATAATGCAACGTCAGTGACGTGTGAGATGAAGAAATTATTTCTACTGAACATATGAACCAAGATCCAATCATTATATAGCATTTTAAAACTGACGTTCAGAATAGACCAAAAAGAACCTACTGCTATTCTTGATCATCTCAATACTTAAGCTGGATAGTTTAGCTCGCTTTTATAGCAACAGACTTATAAATCAATCTCCTTAGTCTATCTAGAAGCAGAAGGTTCTGGTGAAGGTAAAGGAACAAAGAATATGTCAAGGTGAAACTACTAGTTCGTCTGACGTTTCAAGGTCTTCAGAAGCCATTCTCACGACACACACAGGCTAAATTTATACCATTCTAATTCTTTTAGCAAAAGCACCTCGTGCAACTCATTGACAATTTGCTCAGCTTCAGATGATGATTTCAACTAATAGTTCTTCAGATTCAGATTGCTCAATTCTGCCATTAATAACTAAAGATCTCTCACAAGAAGCATATCGGTGTCCAATCTAACTAGCTATCCACAACTAAATCCGGTCACTTTCTATCAAAGAACAATTGTTTATAACCAAGTTTAGCAACACCTTTTCCTTCCTGTCCAAGAATGTTTTCTTCTGGAACAAAGCAATTCTCAAATACAAGCTCACACCTGTTCAGAGCATCAGTGTTATGAGAAGAAGAACAAAAGAGAAGGAGAAAAAGGTACAAGCACAAGAGAAATTCCATTTCAAGAATCGCATGCTTACGTGTCACTCCCACGCATCCCAAGCTTGTCCAATTTCTGGGCTGTGCTAAACCTGCAGCAATAGATAAAAGCTTCTTAAAGAATGACGAACACAGGTCTTCTGAACCTATTCCTCCAGTACCTCCCATTCCTCAAAGCGAACAGTTAATCTAGGTAGCTTTTTCTGTTTAAAAGAATGCTATTTAACAAACTGAATGATTTTTCACCAGCTTAGTTGCATTTAACATCCTTCCCACCCTACGCAAGCAGCCAAACCAAACCGTGATGCAATTGGACCGTGCACTTGATGTTCCATGATGCATGCATCTAAACATGAAGTACTAAAGCATATTGTTTTGTCATTTCTACTAATATCATCTGCAAGAAATGTTGTACAAGCTGGAAAATTCAGACAAGAAATCAACCAACATGCAAAGTTCCATATGAATAACCATATTCTGTTGAATAATGATATTTTGTTCTTTTCATTTCCAGATTCCCTAAGGACTTCCCCATTATAATTTTGTGCCTTCTACAACTAATATGATTCAACTGATATGCTTCATCAAAAGTACCCAGGCATCCCCTTCTCGATGATAAAAGCTGTAATGCCTTTTGATCCAGCTGCAATGTCTGTTTTGGCATACACAACCTGACCAAAGGTTGACATATCAATTAATGACATATGAAAAAAAACCTAATGCACACAATATCATACAAGCACAGCCAGGAATAACCAGGCTAGAAGTGGCATTCAATGGAGACACAACGGCAAAATGGTGCAAAACAGAAGGAAAAGAAAAGGAAAAAAAGAGAATCAACAATGTATAGGTATACCAGTGTCTGAGCAACAGGACCATTCGTGCACCACATCTTATTTCCATTGATAATATAACCTCCATCCACACGATCAGCTTTGCATTTCATACTGACAACGTCTGAGCCAGCTGCAACAAACATACTAACAAGATCATGACTAATCTCAAGAAACATCATGTTTGACAAGCTTAAATACTAATGCGCATGCCAAGAGAGACATATGAGAAGATACCATTGGGTTCACTCATTGCAAGAGCTCCAACATGTTCACCGCTGATAAGCTTCACAAAAAGAAAAACTTAATCAGTGGAGATTACCGCAAAAGAAATCCGCTTACCTCTGAACAGAACTCAAGGAAACATCATTTTGAGATAGCTATAAGCAAACCGAAGAGAAGAGTACAGAGGCCAGGAGAAAGGATTGTTATCTAATTAACATAAACCAAAATTACAAGAAGGGTCTTGTTAATGAATAACCCAGAGCATTTTATTCGTAATAGGGAATGTTTCGATTTACAAAGCGTAGGTTCCACATAATACGGGATATATAATGCAGTAAAAAATTGCACACTTTCATTAAAAGGCTTCTTAACAAGGGCCCTGGGGGCACTTTTTCACCATAATCCTTATGAAAATGGTCGTTTTCCATTTCACAGTGACAGGTACAAGAAGCTCGGACCTTCGGCAGGTACTTCTGTTTCTGAGCGGGACTTCCATTCCTTACCTACAAAACCATAACCCATGGGTAAATAGTGAGCAGATTATGATGTGTTATGACAATTGCTTGGTTCCTATTCTTACCAACTGATTAAGGCACAAGTTAGAATGAGCTCCATAGGAGAGGCCAACCGACCCTGAAGCGCGGCTAATTTCTTCCATGGCTATACAATGATACAAATAACCAAGACCAAGTCCCCCGTACTCCTCTAGAAACAATCCAGAGTGAATGTTTGGACAGTGTGAGATTAACTCAGGTAATAAACAAGAATCTACAGCGAATTTAAAAGAGAGCTAGGGACTAAAAACTTACTACTCCAACAAAAAAGGACTGTACTATAGAACACAAAGAGTTAAGTGCGAAAGCTTCACGAAAAAACAAAATCTACATAAGGAATTTACCTGGTGCTGTGATCCCATGGAGATTAAAGTCTCCCATGAGCTTCCACAAGTTCACCTCCTGGAACAAGAAAGCGAAAAGCAATCACCACTACTACACTAAGAAAATATTACCAAGGAGAGAGAGAGAGAGAGAGAGAGAGCAGTGATTGATCACAACCTTTGGGAAAGAATTTGATTGGTCAATCTTCGAAGCATGAGGGGCAATGTTTTCGCGTGCAAATTGCGCTACACTCTCTTTGAACTGTCAAACATTCGAAGCACAAAGCCACCATCAGAGAAGAACAAGATGGTATTTAATCATTCAAGAACCGAATCGCAAAGAACACACCCAAAAATAAAAATAAAAAGCAATCAAAATCGGCAAACGGGGGCTAAACCACTCATTCTTCCATTTCTTGCAATCAAATACTTCAAGCAAACGAGGCCGACCCAACAAAAATCGACGCAACAGGACCCGCACCAGACAGCAGATAGACACTCCATCACGACCCACACAAGAGAGAGCGAACAACAAGATCCTTATTCGTAAAAGAAAAAGTAAAAAGAGTGACAAGCCATGGATTTGTCGAGGGTTAGTAAGGAAAGGAGGAGCAAGAACCTGGAGCTGGGTGTCGTCGAAAAGGAGGGATGTGAAGAAGCGGGCTCGCTGGCTCCGTTGTCGGAACAGAGAAGAAGAGAGGGACGTCGCTGCGAACAGTTTTTGCATGCTTTAAGCGCAGAAGAACAAGAAGATGAAGATGAAGACGATGAAGAGAATCGCGAGTAAATGAACCTGCGATTCGAGCACATGACGAGTTGCAGTTCTGTCCTTATATATGTCGCGAAGCCAAAGTGAACGCAGTAAAAATTCCGTTTGCCTCACGAAAATAAATTATTTATAAAATATTTTC